AATGTAACTTGCTGGATTTTGAAGTGAGCATTTCTTCCACTGTTCTGATGCATGTGATGCTGAAACCACGTTCAGGAAGACAGATGATAGTGATTTAATGAAGTAATGATTCAAATAGTATGTTAGCATCTGGAGGGAAAGGAACCATGTTATACCCTTTCTTCCCAAATAGCAGGTAATGCATTTTTCTTTTCTTGTTGACCTGAAAGACAAAAATTCTTCTTATGGATGTTCATTCCCTCGCTTTGTAGATTTTGGTCCTGCACACTGTAATACCATCAGACTTTTAATTAAATCAGTTGTGCTGTTGGCTTCATGCATCTTAGGCCACTCTGATTCAGATGTGCTCCTTCTTGAATTAAGCATTTGTTTGATATATTTTTTTTTAATACAGTTTAAAAATACAGCAATTGACTTCTAATCTTTAAGGAATGTAAGGATCTAAAAGCTTTCTGAGGAAGTTATGATATCCTATGTAATTTTAATGTCACCTTTTATCTTTGTATTATGGTAATGATATATACTTTGTCATTATAATAAAAACATAATTTATATATTTTTAATAATAATCTATTGTAGCAGCATTGTTAGATAATCAGTGAGTGTTCTGAAATCTTTCTGTCCTGTTCTGCATATCCCTGGAGTGTTTTTGTCCAGCTAAAACTCCTTGCCAGTTGGTTGTAATGTCTCCTCTATTACACTGTAGTCATCTTTCCACTCTCAGACTTGGTGTGGTTTCTAGGGCCTGTTCTTCTACCTGGTTTGTTTGGGTTTCCTCCCCTTCCCTTTGCTGTTTCTCTCCTGGTCCCAAATCTCAGTTTGGTTTCTTGTATAACTGTTTGCCCTGGTGAGAAGCCTGGCCTAGAGCCGTTAATAGGCAGGTCCTGTTCAGAGGCAGATGGATGATGATGCAGTGCAGATGGTTGCTTCAAGGCATAAAGAGAGTGAAATTCCTTCGGATTTTTTATTTCATCACCACCAGATTTGTCAAATCTAGCCTGAGTAGCCTTTCAGGCAGACAGCATAATGCACGTCTCTGCTGATTAAGGTTGTGTTCTGCCATACCTTGAAGCATAACTTGAAAAGGGCACAAGTCTGCCTGGAGCCATTAACCAGTGGTGCACCTGAGAGGTCAATACCAGATGCAGGACTTTTCAGCATCTTCCTTAGAGATATGGGGCCTTCTGTGCCCTTACAGACTGCGGGGAAGAAGATCCCTTTCTGTGGGAAATTGTGACAAAAGCCAGTGTGACTTTGAGGTACATTTAAAATGTAGCTACTGCTTTCCGGTTTCCATTCAGAAGCCATCTTCTGTGTTTGAGTTAGTCTTCTAATAGCAAAAAGTTTGTGAATGGTGAACAAAGTAGAACTAAGGAAAAATATGGCACTATCCAAGTGTAGTAACATTATAATATCTTAGACTTTTTCAATATTCTTTGAAATAGGTGCAACGTTTTCCATAACCAAATGTAATCTTAGGTCAAAACTTTAAAATGCAGCTGTAACAATTGTCCCAGAATAGTCCTGTTAAGTGAGGAATTTGTTGCAATTTGATGGTGATGCATGTTGCTATTATAAGAGAATATGCTTTCCTGATAGAGGTGGAAATGACTCTTCATTATGTTTTGTGATTTTATAAAGTGTGTGTGTGTGTGTGTGTGTGTATGTATCTCCTTGGTGTGTTTCCAAGGTTTGCCTGTGCCTGTAAAGGCAGTCTAACCAGGGAATGGGTTCTGCTGAATCTTGCCTGCCTCCAGATCAGTCTGTGGTGGAGCTGTGTGTGTGGCCCCAGCAGGGCTGTGAGAGCTGTGGGAGCAGTAATGCTGTGCAGGGGA